TGAATTTATTTAATACACGAGTTTCACAATTTGAGTTGAATTACTGAAATAAATGAACTTTTCCATGACATTCTAATTTATTGAGATGCACCTGTAATTTAATTTAGTGTTCAATTATTAATAATGGTTCTTATTATTATCAGTGCTGAAAACAAATTTTGCTGCTTAATATTTTGTGCAAACCATGATATATATTTTTTCATGATTCTTTGATCAACAGAAATGTTAATGAACAACATTTATTTTAAATAGAAATCTTATGTCTAAATGTCTTTAATGCTACTTTTGATCAATTTAATGCACTTGCTGAATAAAACTCATACATCACATATTTGAATGGCAAAAAATACTAAGCAGCACAACTGTTTTTATCATTGAAAATAATGAATGTTTCTTGAGCACCAAATCAGCATATTAGATTCAGCTTCGCCATCACAGGGAATCAATTACATTGTATAATTTATTCAAACAGAAAACAGACATTTTAATTTGTATTAATATGTCACAATTTGACAGTTTTACTGTATTTTTGATCAAATAAATGCAGACTTGGTGAGCAATTGAGATTTCTATCAAAACATTAAAAAGTCTGAATTATTCCAAATGATTCATTTTGACCAGTAGTCTGTCTGCCTATATAAATGAGTGAAGTGCACATTCCTCTGAGGAAAGTTCTTCCATTAAATTGTACTGCTTCCATTTACACAGTCTTTGTTATAAGTGCCCATACACTCACTGAGGTCTGAGATGACTTTGCCAAAAGCCTTGGCAGTCCCCATGGGGGCTAGAATGATGTTCTGCTTGGCATCTTGCTCATCTGCACAGCTCAATAAATGAGAAATGCACAGTCCAGCACACCTAGATCAACGTGTCTAATCCATGCAGCAAGCAAACGTTTTTAAAGACTATATAAGTGCATAACTACCTGTGTACAGACAGAAATAATTTAATTCATTTATTTCTAATTTAAGTGATGCAGTTGTCAGTACACCCAAACTTCAAAGTTTGCAGTTAATAATAACGCAATTCCCTTGAGTGTCACTAGACAGCAGTAAGAACTAATGATGCTGTTAGGCAGCCACACCCCATATGTGTACAGTATGTTAGTGAAGGTGCATTCTAGCTGTTCATGTTGCCTTTTTTTTTTCCAAATGTAGGAATATATTTATATATAATATATAATTTCCAACAGTATGTGCTATTGAAAAGATTTACAATAAAGTCCATGGAGGCACTTTAGCAGCATCAGGACCATAAAGAGCGTAGGGCAGCATCGCTGCAGCACTGCACAAAGTGGATCTCTTATAAGTGATAGAGTGCTTCCAGCGGTTTGTATGAGAACTGCAATGCAGTATCACACTGTAGCGGACTTAACATTACTGTGCAATGCCTTTATAGATATTTCAGAGCCTATGCCATTTTATACACTACAGTTTAAATTATTTTTTTTTTTGGCAAAGAAAGTGTTACTTTTATTCCACAAGGGTGTATTAAATTGATCAAAAATATTTATAATGTTGCAAAAGATTTCTATTTGAAATTGTTTTTTGACTCATGAATCATTCTTTAAGAACTTAAAGAAAAAGTTTTCCACAAAAATTTTAGGCAGCACAATTGTTTTCAACATTGACAAAAATAACAAACATTTCTTGAGCATCAAAAAGTAATGGCTGCTGAAAATTCAGCTTATAAAGTTTTTCTCCCCACTTTTTCAGCTTATCAAATGAATTCCATTTACTATATTATTTATGAACACTTCAGTATTATTATTTTTAATTCTCAGATGACTTGAAATACTTTATGTTCATGACACTTTTCAGACAACAGCATTCAAAAATGCCAGAATGAATGAAATAATGACCAACAGACACAAGGACGCTTTCAGAATCAGGCATTGTTCGTTCAGCGTGGAAGACACCAGACCCAATATCTGACATTAGTACAGTACTCTACAATATCTGGAACAGCCAAATCACAAAGCAACATGACAAAGGCAAAAATAAAACATGTGACACAAACCCTTCATCGTACACCAGACAATAGAATCATTCAGAACCGGCAACAAGCACTGTGTAGCACCAGGTTTTGCATTGTCTGACATACCTGTAATTCTTTAATTAAAACAACCGAACCTTAAATACAAGCTGATATCAACACATTTGATTTCTGACATCTCGCAAAAAGTATCATACTGCTTTAACGACGTCAACACAATGACTGAGAACCATTGTAAGCGATGCTGTGTAATTCACGCATTTAGCCAAACCATACACATCATTACCTTTAATATATTCATAAGCACCAAAATCCAGTCGCAAAGAACCCTGTTGCTGAACGCACAGCAATCCTAGAGTTAATTCATAGGTTACAAAAGAAAACACCAAATGCATTTAATGACCAGGGTGTCAACTGAATAATATTACATGCTGAGTTAATGCTTTTCAACAGTCTGGAATATGATCGATTTAATACGATCCAACTAGTGTGTGACCATAAGCACCAAAACAATGTCTGCATTGAATTCTACAGTTGTGGAATGGACCTGAAGTGAAGAGGTGGTCTTCAAGTGCAGGATTTGTGAATGCAAGACAAAGAGAGAGAGAGCGGAAAAGGCTGAGTAGGTGTAAAAATCAAGTTAAATAATCCCATTGAGCAGCTATTTTCTTGTAATTGCTGGTTTGTCAAATAAACATCTCAGATTTGGCGAGGTAAGTTGATAACTGTTGCCCTTTTATGAAAATTGCAATGAGAAAATAAGTTAGATAAGGGATCAGTTTCAGTCTAATCTGGGACCTGTTCCCCTTTTTGTCTGTTAAAAGGCAAAAAAACTGGAGACTAGTAGGAAATGATCCCATCTGAGAAGGATATACTGACAGAAATGATCCAGTCTGAGACCACCTGGAATCACGAGCGCGACAAAGAACTGCGAGATCTCCTGATATGCCCCCAGACTGCTGAGTTCATGTGTTTAAAACGAGTTGTAAAAAAGACAATCCAAACAAACAAACCGAAAATATAAGAATATAAAAAATGCAGAACCAAAACAAATAAAAACACTCCATAACAAAAGTCATCTTCATTACTGAGCACATAAATTAAGAACTACACCTCCTTCATGTTCACCCGTCAGCCCTTCTTACTGTCTGGCTGAGAGAGGGATGTGAAGATGGAAAAGAGGATGACAAGCACCAGATTTAGCAGAGAGTGGATCTATATTAGTGTCTATGGAGGGCCTTAAAAACACTTTCAACCCTTGTGTCTGCCTCTACCTCCCTCTCTGTGAATTCTCTTGTTTTGCATGTTCATTTTTTCTTCCGCTCCTGTGAACATCTTGGGCAGTACCTGATGTAGAAGGAAAACAACAAAGCCAATGTTGAAATATACATGTATATTCACTGATGCTATAATTAGTGAGTTACTTCAGAATAAAATGTCTGTTTTAACACTGCTGCCCGACAGCATTGACTTGCATCAGTTTCAAGGGCAAAAATCACATGACTACAAACCATTTCCCTCTGGGTTTGGTGGTCAGACCCACACAGGCAAAGTGGAACCACTCGATAGAACACTAAAGAAAGAGAAACACACACACGTTTACCACAAGCACAGCTCTGAAGATAAATGTACAGGAATCTGCTGTAATATAATGCTGCAGTCTGGGAATGGAGTTTACAGCCTATGACTAGACATTTATTTAATCTCCATTTTAACTTGTAAAGGGGATATAAATCTAATGAAATAATAAAATAAATATCTATCTATGTCAGCAATAATGTATGAGAGGCTGTGAGCTTGTCGACTTTGGATGAGAAAGGAAACTCACGTCTGTATTGTCACAGCCAATCATCTCCCCGTATGAAACCTGGTGGCAGAGACAATAGGTGGGCTCGTTGGGGTCCACTGGCATGTCCAGCACATCCGAGGGGTGCACGTTCCCAAAGTTCACAGCCGGGGTTGAAAACTCAGGGCTGGAAGACAGTTTGATTAAAACTGTATTAGATTTTGGAATGTATTTATTTTATTTTGGTGCATTTTGCTTCTTTTATTGACAGAAGCGGTTAGAAAGGTGAAAAGAAAAAAACGATGTTGCCTGGACTGTAGGGCAAAAAGCGAACCATTTGCTTTTTCTAAACGTTAAAAATGTATTTGAAAACAACTTCATAAATATTTATGTACATGGTGGGAGGCTCCAGTAAGATTTTTTAAAAATCTTTTTGAAATAAATATTTTATGCTTACCAAAGCTGCATTTACTTGATCAAAGACACAACAAAAACAGTAATATTGTGAAATATTATTACAATTTAAAACAACTATTTTCTATTTTATACGGAGCCTGGCACAAGGCATGTAGGAAAAAAATAGTAGGCTAAATCGTGTGCATGATTTACTATTTCGTTCCCTCGATTTATAAATTGTGCACACGATTTATAAATCGAGAGAACCAATTAGTAAATTGTGCGCACGATTTAGCAAATCGAGGGAACGAATTAGCAACTTGAGGGAACTAAATAGTAATCGTGTGCACGTTTTAGTACATCGAGGGAATGAATGAGTAAATCGTGCGCACGATTTATTTATTTTTTCTTGCATGTCATGTGCGGGGCTCCGTAATTTTAATATATTTTATAAGTCATTTATTCCTGTGATTTTTTAGCATCATTACTCGAATATGATTTGCTGCTCAAGAAACATTTCTTATTATTATCAATGTTGAAAGTAGCTCTGCTTAATAGTTTTTGAATTTATTTATTTTTTTTTTTGCAGGATTCTCTGATAAACAGAACGTTCGTAAGAACAAACTCTGTGAAACAGAGAAAGAAATCTTTTGTAACATCTTTGCTGTCACTTTTGATTAACTTAATGCATTCTTGCTGAATAAAAATTAATTTATTTAAAAATCAAAACTTTTGAACAGTAGTTTATATGTATGAAGAGTACAAAGCTGAAAATGTTAATTGCAAAGAGGAAGCAGATTTTACTGCAATTCTGGTGGTTCAAAAATGACACACTTTACAAATAAAAAAGAATTATAATAGAAAATGTGTGTGATTCTCACCCTTGTGTGAGTTTGACCTTCTTCTGACCACTCTTTGAGCTGCAGTCATCATCAGAGTTCTTCACCTTTGACCTAGTGCGAGTCACCTCCTTCTTCTTGGGTCCTCGATGGTCACCTTCAAACAACAATAAATGACCATCAGAGACTTTGTTGAGATATAGAGATCCACATAAGAGATGTGCATGTCCCAAAACATCACTAATAGTCATAAGAAGTTATCATAAGAAGCTTACTCTTGTTGCCCTTGCTGGAGGTAGAGTCATAATCGGTGCTTTCTATCTGTTTCTCTTTGAGGTCAGCCTCAAAGCGAGCCAGGTCTGTATCCAACCTTCGGATATGCTTGTCCACCTAATGCATAGAACAAATGACGTATGGAGTCATAAAGCAACAAAATGTACATTACAGATTTATTTTACAATATCTATAATATATACTACTGTTCAAAGGTTTGATTCTTCTGAAATCATTCTAATGTGCTGATTTGGTGATCAATAAACATTTCTTATTATCAATGTTCATAACAGTTGTGCTGCTTAATACTTTTTTATTCTTTGACAAATCTAAAGTTCAAAAGAACACTGTTTAAACAAACAGATTGTTTTGTAACATTATAAATGTCTTTACTTCCATTTTTGATCAGCATCCTTGGTGAATAAAATATTAATTTCTTTAAAAGAATTCTTACTGACCCCACACTTTTAAAGGGGTCATATGATGCTTTTTTAAAGATCATTATTTTGTGTATTTGGTGTAACAGAATATGTTGACATGCTTTAATGTTCAAAAAACACATTATTTTTCAAATACTGTACATTATTGTAGGTCCTCTATGCCCCGCCTCTCTCAAACGCTTCGCTCTCTCTCTCTCGCGCTCTCTCTCGCTCTCTCTCTCCCTCTCGTGCTCTCTCTCTCTCTCGCTCGCTCGCGCGCACACACACACACGATGCGCAAAACTCCGCATTTGAACAGTCAATAGCAAATACTTAAACTAATAACAAAACAGTAGCTGATTCAGAAGCGCCAGATTGTCATAGCAAAGTCAGAATTACCTCCTCTCCTAGGCTCACGAAACGGTCATCCATAAAATGCATTGCTGTTCTGTTGTAAGTAATCTTAAAGATTCCTAAATGCATCTACTTTCGGAAGGCCAAATTGCTATCGCCTAGAAACACACAGCGTCTCCCTGACATGGCTGCATCAACACTAACTGCGGTTACTGAAACCACGCCTTCTTTCTTTGCGTGCACATTTGGGCGGCATTATGCAAATATTTCCACATAGTGAGGTAGATATGTGGGGGCGTGTTAGAACGAGCCGTTTTAGGGGGGCGTGGCAGAGTCTTAACTTTGATAAAGTATATCTCTTTGGTTTTGAGACTTTAGTCTTTGCAACTTCAGGGATCTTATCTATGCACAATCAGCTTGTAACACTCCAAAGAGAAAGGAAAACTTGAAATCGCATCATATGACCCCTTTAAATAGTAATGTACATTTATGTTAAAATGTAATATATAAACAGAATTTGCAATAGTTATAAAAGGTAATTTGTAAGGAGTACATGCAAATTCACACTAACCATCTCATAGGTTTGCATCGCAAGCTGGACCTTGTCATCTCCAAACTCTTTACACTTCCCATAAGACTGCTGGATCTGTCTTAACAGTGAGAGCTTCTGCTCGGAGGACAACGTCCGAGCGTTGGCTGTGTATTCACGAGCCAGAGAATCAATCTGCCCTTTCAGGTCTAGACAAAGAAGAAATGTAAACAAACAATCACTTACTATCTCAAGCAACCAGACATTAAATATAAACGTGTGAAAATGTAATTAAAAGTATTATTCTATATTACTGTATTGAGGCAGGGCTATAGTTTAGACCCACCCTCTGTCCTCTGGTCTAGATCTCGCATCAGCTGGAAGTTCCTCTGCAGTTCAAAGGGCAGATTTTCTATGCCTAAAGAGACAGAATGACATATAAATCATCAAACAGACCCATAAGGCTGTGCGCATTTGAAAACCAGCACTACAGTAAACAATCTCCATCTATACGAGCGCAAGCCAGCTCGATTGTCCTGAGAGACAGCATTTAATGTTAGGGTGACCAGACGTCCCCGTTTTCCTGGGACAGTCCCGGTTTTTGGTGTCCTGTCCCCGGAAATGTCCCCGTTTTACAGCACGTTCAAAACAACGGTTACTTTCACCCGCAGAGGGCGCTGCGAGCTACTGTAGCCATGAAGAACCTGGACGAGAGCAGAGCGCTATTATCAAAAGTTATTGGTTTCAAGGTAGTCACATGCTAACTATACATGTTAAAACAAAGTAATACTGTTTGTGTGCACTTCATAACAAGGCATGATAAGGTTGCAGGATTGTTTTGCACACAGTATTATATTATTATTATTATTATTATCTGCTAAATGACTAAAAGTAAAGTATTAAACATTCCTGAAACTTTCGCCGTCACAACACCGATATGAATAATATAAAAAATAATAAACTAAACAATTAACACTTGCAGAAAGCACATACTTTGTGGTCAAAATTAGCCTAAAATGCAAAACAATAATTTATTATTATTTTGCATAATAATAAATCCAGTTCAATTTCCAAAAGCATAAGCATAAAATAACTTGGAAAAAAATAATTTGAAAAGTTGTAATTACTTTATACTCAGTCAGTCAGAAAATGTTACAAATATTTGTAAAATACAGTTTAATTTATCATATGTTCTCATATTTATTGTTTTATTTTTAATGTGGTTTGTAAAGTCATAATTTTGTTATAATCCTATTTTGATCTCTCTACGGTTACTATTCACTTTTCATAGTGTGATTTTTGTTGAATTGTAGGCCTATTAATAAAATAGGGTAAGTTTGATCCTCAAACTTCATTCATTGTAATTTTTAATTATGATATTAATATATGGAAACCACAACAATTAAAGAATAAAAACATACGCACATATATATTGTCCCCGTTTTTTTCATTTGTAAATAATCACAAGTGAGATTTCAATTATATTTTGACCACTGAACTAGGAAATGTCCCCGGTTTTCATTTCAGAAATCTGGTCACCTTATTTAATGCTTGCCATTGCGCTTTAATATTGCCAGGTTTTTATTGACAATATATCATTATTTTAATAGCAGTAACTTAATATTACATTCTGTCACGTTTATCAGTGCCGCACCCACCAAGCAAAACTACAAAACCATCGTTACCATCATAACACTGTTTATATTTACAGTTAGCCCATTAGCTTCAGAGACCAATGGTCTGACGTACTGACGTTTTTATTAGCGCGGTTTTGTGTCGTTACGCGGTCGTTTTATTGTAAACCGTGTGTGTATGTGAAACGTGCAGACATGCTGGACAATATGAACACAGAAGACATGTATTTATGCGGATGGATATCGAAGCAAAGACAATAGCCTTACTGTCCAAATAGTGCTCTAGATACATTCCAGCCGCCATTTTGACAAACACAAACAAAGGTTCTTCCGGTTTTGCCGGAAGTCCTGGGCTGGGGGGCTATGAGGGGGAGGGGTCATGAGTGAGGGCTGTCTGTTGACCTCTTTCATGTCCTTTATCTACGGTAGCCGAGAAGTGCAGAACAAATCACAATTCTGAAAACAAAATAACAAATTACAAACGCAAATGCAAGTCTAAAAAACAAAATAACAATTCAGAAAACACAACAACAATTCAGAAAACATTATAACAAGTCAGAAAACACAATGACAAATTCAAAAACAATATAACAAGTCAGAAAGCCCTTACTCTGAAATAAAAAATACGGGGTGTCTATTTACATTTAGAAAAAAGTAGCTGTAAAACATCAGCTCCAGTGGTGTAGATGGATAAGTGTGTGTCACCAACTTTTTGACGCAGATTGACCCGGGTTCGATCCCGCCTTTTGCCGAGCTTTTTTTCCCCTCCCTTTTCAAATCTCGTATTAGCAATGGATTGTATTTACACTAAGTGAAAATAGCAGTATTTTTAGCAAAATGCTATTTACACTAAGTGGAAAAAAAAGTTTGGCAAAAGGCGAGATCGAACCCGGGTCGATCGTGTCAAAAAGCCAAATAAAGCGCTTATCCATCTGCACCACTGGAGCTGATGATTTACAGCCACTTTTAACTAAATGTAAATATACACTCCATATTTTTTATTCCATAGCCTGTATACGTTGATTGACAGATGTCTCGTCCAGTCAGCGGTGAGTAATCCCAAGCCAATGGCGCTGTCTCAAACTATACCTACCTTTTCCGGTTTGTCTGATTTGTCGTTGTGTTTTCTGACTTGTTAATTTGTTTTCGGATTTGTCGTTGTGTTTTCTGACTTGTTAATTTGTTTTCGGATTTGTCGTTGTGTTTTCTGACTTGTTAATTTGTTTTCGGATTTGTCGTTGTGTTTTCTGACTTGTTAATTTGTTTTCGGATTTGTCGTTGTGTTTTCTGACTTGTTATTTTGTTTTCGAATTTGTCATTGTGTTTTCTGACTTGTTATAATGTTTTCTGAATTGTTGTTGTGCTTTCTGAATTGTTATTTTGTTTTTTAGACTTGCATTTGCGTTTGTAATTTGTTATTTTGTTTTCAGAATTGTGATTTGTTCTGCACTTCTCGACCACCGTATTTATCTACTTTGAAAGTGTGTTGAAAGTTGAAACAGAATGATAAAGCTCCTCTTTGGATGTTCAGAGATATGTGCTATGGGAAATAGCACAATGAGTGTAGTTGTAAAAAACTGGGAACAAATTGTAGGATTTTATTATTATTATTAATTTTAGTGCATTTGATTAATGGCTATGCTCAACATTTGTAAAATTTAGTCAGACGAAACAGTTTTGAGGTTAAGTGATGGGATTAATCTCTGGAATATTATGTTGAAGGGGGAAAATATAGTTTTTATTTTGAAGTGAAAAGATAAAATTAGTCCATTGGGCTCAGATGCTCCCCAGATTTGGCACAGAAATATTAAATGAATATTTAATTTAATTTTTATTGTAATTCATGGGGTTATTATTCAGTAATTTCATGAGTTAGACAGAGGCGGACAGTATAGTGAAGTATTTTTTACTTTACTCTAGTCAGTTTAAAAAGTATCTGTAGTTTATCAGTGTTTTTCTTTTGAAAACTTTCCTTCACTACACTCCAAAGCATAATGTCATACTTTTTACTGCACTACATTTCATAAATAAAAGTTGTTGTTTGTTTTACCTTTAATACTTAAGAGCATTAAAAATGTAGTACTTTCTTGTACTCAAGTAAATCTTTCAATTACTTGAGCAAAAGTAAGAAAGTAATAGATTTCTAATGTAATTAAGTATTAAATTATATTTAATATGAAACATAGTGCAGTAAAAATTACAATATTATGCTTTGTACTGTTGTGAAGTAAAGTTTTCTAAAGAAAAACACTCTGATAAAGTACAGACTTTGAAAAGTACTTTTAAAGCAGAGTAAAAATACTTCACTACTGTCCACCTCTGGAGTTAGATGTACATTTCAGACGTCTTTGCTATTCATTAAAACCCATAACTGAGTGAAATCTTTCATAGGACCTTAATGTGTCCTTCTTTCCCCTACATTTTTCAAAATCACTTGATTGTTTTAGTGTTGTTCAGGTCCTTCCCAGCATCATCTAAATCAAGCGTAGCGTTAGTTCTGGCAGGTCATGTTAGTCAAGCTCGCATCAGCTGATCCACGTCTACCTATAGGGATAGACGTGGATCCTATCACAGCACCCATATATAAGATCCTTCAGTATTATCACCAGCTTTTGCTTTGCTCAATAGCTAATTACCCTCCTCTATGGGATTAAATCTCTGCCACAATTCTGCGCACGAAAGATCATATTTTGAGCGCACAAAAGTGCGTTTTGCAGGCGCGTGAACTGAGTTTTTTGGAGAAAATGTTTGTCTCGCAAAGAAGAAAGTATTTCGAGCGCACGAAAATCAATTTTGCATTTAAAATAAGTTTTTGGATGTGTGCAGACCTTCTCTTTTAGCAAAAATATATATAGATAGATAGATAGATAGGCTTTATAGACAGATAAGTTGAGAGTGACTCTTGAAGGACCAGCACCACATCCTCTTGTACCACTGTTTGAAGAATTTATCTTCCAGAATCTGGCAGTAAGTTCATTTTTAGTCCATCTCGAGATTTTATCTGTAGAAGATAACCTGCTTAATAATTATGCACACCTGAATATAAGGCGTTTTTCACTTCCAGCCTTCATGAACAATAATATATAGATTATAAGTGATTAAATACAAGATTAATAGTAGTTATTAAGATTGATGTTGTTTGGAATTGGTAAAATGTGCTTGGAAAAAAATATAATCAGAATATCAACTTGCATAAGAATTATGCATGCACTGTATTTTTCCTCTTCTGCTGTCCTGGTAATGCAAGACATGTTGTGAATGGTTGTCAAGGCAGCCAATCAGAATCTAGCAGCCTCGTCTCTGATTGGCTGGAATTATGGCATATTGTAACGCTGGGTTGTGTTGAGCAAGCGAGCCGAGAGCACTGAGAGTGGGCATCAAGGGAGCAAGCTAGTGAAACGTTGCACGCGCAAAAGAGAAGGTCTGCACACATCCAAAAACTTATTTTAAATGCAAAATTGATTTTCGTGCGCTCGGAATACTTTTTTTCTTTTTGCGAAACTAACATTTTCTCCACAAAACTCTTTGAGTTTGAACTTTTGTGCGCTCAAAATATGATCTTTCGCGCACAGAATTGTGGCAGAGATCTAAGCCTATACTCCTCCATCCCCAACTCCTCTTGTTCAGTCAGGATTCGGCCTTCTGATTCTCCTTTGAATCAGACTAATTTCTAAAATGTTACATTAAATTATTGAACTTTTATGATATCTGCAATACATTTAGGTTAGTTCTGTTCTTTTTACCCTGGGGGGTTATTGCTGCTCTCCCTGCTCTTATCTATGCTAGGCTGCATGGATGGAGTTCTTGCCCAGAACCCATACCGCCAATCCAAACTGTATGCTAATTGTCAGTCATCTTTGACGATAGTGGTCCTGACAGAAATAAACAAAAGAGGTTTAAATGTCTGTTCTCTCTGAAGCCTCCATTGGTTTTATCACATAGCTTTTCCCGGCATGTATTCAGTACTTTTCTCCAGAAGAGGGCAATAGTCAATAGATTTTGAACTGTTTAGCAAGAGAACCTGGAGTTTGAGCTCCAGGGAGTGTTGGTTAGTAGCTAGTCTCTCTCCCAGTACAGTCAGTCATTATCCCAATAAACACATAACAGAAGTGGAGCTGACAGCCAGACAATAATACAGCAGTTAAGATTTGTGTTGTGCAGTTTGGAGAGGATATTCAATCTCATTTAAAGGAGAGCTGGCACAATATGTCACCCCACAGGACTGCCAAAAGAACATAATTACTGCTGCTTTCCCAATTGAGATGCATGTCTAAACAGGCTTCCTCATTTTAAAATCGCTCGCATATGTATTCAGGACTATGTAGTCTGTGAATCAGCTGTGCTGCTGAATCATATTTTCTAAAATTGCTGTAGATTAACATAATTAAGATCTAGCGAGATGATCGCTTGCAAAGTACAATTTAAGATGTTATTTGCATGCTGATTTCTTTTCGCTTTTTTGTGAAGTCCTTTCCGTTTTTAAAAGCACTTTTTTTTTCAACCTAAGCAGGCACAGAATAAATGTCGGTTTAGATAAAGCAGCTCTCAAAGTCTCCTCTAGCTGTGACTGGTATAATTTTGCCTCACTATCACCCACGTATCGTATGAAGTATTAAGGGAGCACTCTCTCTGTTTAGGGAGTGTTGTCAGTGGTCTCCCTCAAGGAGAAATTACTGTGGCAATGCTAATAAGCATTTATGCTCCCTTGAGCAAA